ATGGGCGAGGGCAGCTTCTCCTCAGGCTGCTCAGCGAGGGGATGAGGGTGTCCTCCGGCGCCTGGGGTGCTGGGGCTGCAGGGAACAGAGCCCCGAGGGGCGCGGGCAGCTCTCGCTGGCACCGGGAGCTCCTGGCTTCAGTGCCAGCACACAGACCCCCCCAAACAGAGCTTGCCACCGGCTCCTGGGAGGGACCTCCGTGGCACTGGAGATGCAAAGGATCACGAGCACTGCTCCTGGAGTTGTCTGCTCTCGAGCAAAGCTTGCTTCAGATTTCCCTGGGAATCTCCTCTTTGTACAGGAGAAGGTGGACATGAAGCCAAACCGCCGCCCTGGTGCAGAGGGGCCCGTTCAGGCTGGGTGACTTGAGCAGAGATGCTCCAAACCCATCAATCCCACCGCAGGCAGCATGCGGAGGAGCCTGTGGGATCCTTATTCTCCCCAGGATAAAGTAGGTTCCTCTACTAAGGAATTAAACCCCCAGGGAAAAGACAAGCTCTTTGGGTGGCAGGAGCTGCAATGCCTTTAAAACCATCCTTTGGGGTGAAGAAGGTGAATTCTTTGCGATTTTGGGCGGCTAGAGCAGAGGGGCAGCACTTACCGCGGCACTGACGTGGCCAGCTCTTCCCTGGGATCCTGCTGGGCGAAGGAGCATCCCTGGAGGGTGACGTGGCCCAGCCCAGCCCAGCGCCTGATGCAGAAGGAAAGAGCCGTTTGGTCGTACAGGTTCAGCCTGATGTCCTGCAAGTCTACGGCGGTGAAACCACCCAATGCGCTTTGCAGGAAGCTTTCCTCGTTCAGCTCGAACAAAAAATGGAAAGTGTCCAGCTCCGTAACCTTCGGCGCTTGGCTGGGATGGGAGATGCCTCTGTGCTTCCCCTGGAGCCACCTCAGCAGATCTTCCCTGGCTCGTGGTGAAATTCTGCACCCCATGATTTTGTCCACGGACTCTATCGATTTTTGGCTTACCAGACCAAAGAGGAATCGCACCGTGAAGTTCAAATCCTTCCTGGACTCGCTGTAGCTTTCCAGTAACAGACTCAGGTCCTTCGTGAGAGCGCCTGAGCTGCCGACCGCCTCCTCCTCGTCCTCCAGAACGTAAGACATGGCCGCGAAAAACTCCTGGAGGTGCAGGTGGGTGAAGCTGTAGACAGTCCCGTGGTCTATGCCTTTCCTGGAGATCTCGTTGAGGAAGAGGGGGAGAAGGTCCGGCTGGTTCAAGCCACGGTCCTTGATTTCCCTCTCCTCGAAGAGGACCTTGTGCTTCCAGATGCCGTTGGCAGCCAAGGAGCAAAGTTTGTGCAGGAACCGCCGGAGGTCCTGCGGGTTGTCCCCCCCTCTGCACTTCATTAGCCAGGAGAGGTAAAACATGCTCATCTCTGTGGTGGCTTTAGAGCACTCGAGGAGGTTTTTCTTCTTGCAAAGCTCTTGTTTGAGGATGGTGCAGACAGTCCAGCTCATGGCGGGGATGACGCACAAGCTGTAGAGGATCTCGTTGCCTCTGGCAAACCTGAAGGCCGCGTTGGCTTTATTGTCATTCTCAAAATACCTGTGGAAATACTCCTCCCTCATGGCTGCCGAAAATCCCAGTATCTCTGCGTAATACTCCCCATCCAGGCACCGCCCCAGGCTTTGAAGAGCCGTTGGTCTCGTGGTGATGAGCAAGGAGGACTCGGGAAGAACAGTCCTCTGCAACAAGCTCATCAGGGTGGTTGCCAGCGGCTTCACTTCCCTGGGGTCAGAGCTCAGCTCATCTTTAGACTGATCCAAGGAAAATCCCAGGGCCTCGAAGCCATCCAAAATGAACAGGATCTTCTGATCATCCAGGATCTTCCCAGCTGGCATTTGCTTGTGAGGGCAGCACTCTGAAACCAGGTCTGCCACGCTCGCTTCCTTGGTAAGGGCAAGGCCTTTGCAGTCTATGCAGAAGACGTAGTCAAACTGCGCGTCGAGGTTCCCCTCCACCCACTCCACCATCACCTTCCGGACCGTCATTGTCTTCCCCATCCCCGGGGCCCCCACCAGCACCACGATCTGCGGTGGCTGCCCATCTTCTCCAGGTTTAAACAGCGTCTGCGCGGTGACGGTGGCCGGTCCGTTGCCGGCATCGACGCATCCGTTGCTGGCGCCCACAGGTCCATGCTCGCCTCCGCGCTCGCTGCGAGGTTTCCTGGTGATGGTCAGGTCGGTGTAGCGGCTGCTGATGGTTGTAGCGGCTGCTGACGGACAGGCTTTCCCCGAGGCAGGAGTTCACTTCTTTGTACCGTCGGAACCCCCTGGCCATGTGCTCTTTGTATTTCCGCCTGTACTCTGTGCCAGCAAGAAGCAGAGTCAGTCCCCAGCACAGCCAGATTCCCGAGAAGCCCCTAACCAGCCCGACCGCTCCTGACGCAACGGGACACTTGTCTCAACGCTTTCCTGAGTCTGGCAGAGCAATAAGGGTATCGTCTGTGAGAATTTTGGGCCTCGGGTCAGTTGGAAGGGTCCTTCTCCTCTCCTGGGTCCCCCCATCATCCTCATTCCCCCAACCCCTGTTCTAACCCCCCTGCGATCCTCATCCGCCCTGGGAGAAAATGCAATTGCCTGGAGCCACCCTCTGCCCCTCTCTGCTCGTGTCCCTGGGGCTAAAGGCACCATCCCTGGGCTCCCAGGGGTGTCCTTAATCCCCATCCCGGGAGGAAAGGATCTGCACAGCTGCTTGCCAGGCGGTGCCAAGAGCAAGAGGCTCTTCTCCGGGAGCAGAGGGAGCCTGGCAGTAAGTGGGGACAGCAAGGGAGAGGGGGGTGGTGGTGTCACTACACTTTGTGTTTGCAGGCTCCCTGGGAAACCAAATCCTGCTCTCACCAGGATCACTCAAGGGAAAAGAGACCAAGTAAAGCAAAATTTGCTCCGGCTCCCTACCTTTCACCTGCTCATCCAGGAGTTTCTCCGCCAGGTCCCTCTGGTCCATCTCTCTGAACAACCTGATCGCTACCTCCGTCGCAGCGGCTTGGCTGTGGTTCTCGCCCGTGCAGCTAGCAAGCACTCAAGGGTGGGCGGCCTTCACCGTCGAATCCTTGGGAATATTCTGTTCTCCTTCCGCAGGAACCTCTGATAACTTCGTCTTAAACTCCTGGAATTCTTTAGGTGTGAGACCCTGCAGCGCTTGGAAGAGACCGGCTAACGCATGCTCTTCCCCTGCCATGGCGGGAGGTCACCTGAAACACCAAAGGTTAGAAATCCCAGCTATGCCGTGCCAAGAGGTTTTGGAGCTGGAGTTTGTCCCAGAGAGCCTGTTTATTCCTGTGCTGGAAAGGCCGGGGACTGTCACCCCAGCGTGGCAAGGTCACCAGGGCTGCAGGATCCGGCACGGTCGGGATGTCCCCCCTGAGATGGGGCACAGAAAAAAGCACCACGGGGGCTTCCAACCAGGCTGCAGTTTCATAGAATCAT